GACAGAGTATTTCAATATAGGAAGATAAATAGGAGTTGATTGACTTGGTGATTGGATTTTCCTAGAGTTTCATGATATTTCCTGTTGCTAGTGTTGAAGGTGAAAGAGAAGTCTTGGACAGCCTGCCATAGTGGGTACCACAGTATAAACACATAGAGCTGCTAGACAGCTTGAGTCAAGCTTGGGTAACTCAGAGAACATGCTAATATTATATCTTGGTGAGATGGGATTTCAGGAGAATATATCTCCTGGTCTTTGTTTTGGTTATGGAGTGGCTTGACTATTAATAATCAGAATGGAAATTTACAAATTGGTATTATTCAACATATACCTGCTGACCCAGGCATTGTCTAGGATTTAATATTTCTGTCCACTAATCCTTTCCAGACAACAGCTTACAGGTAAAAATCCCATTTTAATGAATGTAATTTTGAGATAAAACTATTTAGTAAAATCATCATGTAGACCAGATGTATCCACAAATCCCTGCTCATGAAAACTATATTAAATATAATATATTTAGTTATATTAAATTAAGATGCTGTTGTTTGAATTCAGTATTTAAACTTTTTACTTTAATTATGTTTAATAGCAGGATCTTGCCATGCAAAAAAAAAAAAAAAAGAGAGAGAAACTTATGATTATTCCCTCTCAAGGCTTTCATTGCTTTGTCTGTAAAATAATGAGAGTGTGAGAAGAGCTAGATAGTCTTTCCAATTATAAAACTTCTGACTTTTTGTCTCAACTGTCATCAGTATAGGCCAATGAAAGGAAAATAAAATGGATTCAGGTTGAGGGTAAAGTCTTGAGAATACTTAATGATACTAAGCATTAAAGACAGCCACGATAGTATCTACCTGCCCAGCAACTATCTCTTCAAAATTTTTCTTCATACTAACAACTCAAATATGCTATGTATTTTAAGGAAACAACAAAAGATACCCACGTGTACAACCTCTCTTTCTGAAATTTTCAAATATTCATTTAAACAATGTTTATCTAGTGCATATTATGTACCAAAATAGTATGTACGAGATAGCACATAGTAACAGGAGCTCACAGTTTCATAGTGGAGTCTGACATAAATAGGGACAAAACATCTTGTATGTGCCATGACAGAAGTCAGTTCAGAGTAAAATGGAGCTCTAAACCAATGTCATAAGTCAATGCCCTGGAAAAAAAAAGTCTGTATGAAGATTTGTGTGAAGGAAGGTTATTGGGTATATGCTAAAGTACATCACCTGTAAGGGAGAAAGCAGAAAGAAATGGGCAGAAAGAAAAAACGAACCAGTCATAGTTGCAGCTAAGGTCTAGTACTAACAGGAACTTTCAAGCTGGAATGGCCCTCCAGAATTGTCCAGAATTGAGGTAAGGATTCTTGGCCTTTAAATCTCCATATTGACTAGTCATTGGGTACAGACTGATGCAGAGAAAAGGGTGCAGTGTGATAATGATTAACAGTTAGCATTTCAGGGGTGGGAATTGGGGAGGAAGCCCTGATTTTTGTAGCATTTGCTTATTTCAATGGTGTAATCACTGCCACCATGCCAAATTTCATGTTACAAATATGACATTAACTAGTTCACAAAATCCCTGAAAATTTAACCATAAACTCTTGTGAACCAGCACAAGCTGACTCCAGCACACTAATGATGGGATGTGACTTTGGGATATGTGGCTTTTCTTGGCTGAGGGAAATTCCCAGAGAGGCATCAGCTATTATCTCCTAACACCCACAGTAATTAGGAGAATGAATTCCATCTGGATGGCCCACAATAACATCAATTACATGTAGTGTATTTTAAAATTATTTCATATATTTTAACCAACACTATTTAGCTCTTTCCATCCAGTGAAGTGATTTTTAGTATTTTGTTAAGTAAATTAAATGGAATTCTATTTCTATTGGGTAACATTGATTGAGTCATCTAAATTCTGCTTTTGTAGAAGACAGTTATCAATACTGAGATATTTGCCAAGGATACTATTGGAAAAACTGTACAACTAACTGAAATACTTAACTCAATTTTTTCCCATCAATGGACCTGTTTGGATGAATTTGACCAAACTGATTCATGTTTAGTAGTATAGATAAATATAGGGAATTGGAAGCCTTTAGTTTTAGTTTCTCTTTCTAAATCTAACCCTTGCCTTATAAACCTCTTTGGCACTCCATTTTCTTATTATACAATACTAGAGGCCAAGTGCATGGATTCCTGCACTGGTGGGGAGTGTGGCCTGCAGGGATTGGCCTGCTGTGGGATTGCCACTCATCCTGGTCAGCTGAGTGGTGCTCCCACTGTGGGAGCACAGTGATCACCAGGAGGCAGCTCCTACATTGAGTGTCTGCACCCTGGTAGTCAGTGCACATCATAGCAACTGGTCAAACGGTTGTTCTGGTGGTTCTGCCTTTTGGTCACTGGGCTTATATATATATATATATATATATATATATATATATATATATATATATATATATGCAATTATGCACAAGGGAGACTGAATGGGATGTGACCTTGGGATATGTGGCTTTTGTATGGCTCATAAACTAGCTCCGAGGATATCCTGAGAGTATTTGAATGAATATTTGAGCATCAATACCTGTAGAACCCCTTAGGGTAATTATATTGAAGGAGATAATGGTCATTCAGAAACAGGTCATGGTGTGTGTGTGTGTGTGTGTGCGTGTGTGTGTGTGGTATTTAAATCAACTTCATAACTTACTAGTTATACCTTAATAGTGAAGATTTCTAGCTTTAGCTCAAAGAGGAAACTTTCTGGGGGTATTTAACAAGTGCAAAGAAGGTTTTTGAAAATAGATAAAGCAATGTGTAAATGACAAAGACCAGTCACTGAAATTAGTTAAAAATAGTCACATCCTGGGATTAAAGCTTCCCATTTAAACATGTATAATTAATATTTACCAATGGCAATAGAATCTTTTCCTTTCTTCAAGGAGTTCAGAATACTTGTCAGTCATTATCTAATTACTAGTAAATTATTCAATGTATCTGTGAAATGCATTGGAATTTACATTTTAAAGATGTGGGTACTGAAGCATAAGTGGGCTTACACTAAACCCATTTGGCATGCCTAAAAGCAAAATTGGATATGACTTCCAGTTTTATGATTTGGTTGCCATTCTTCAACTATGGCTCCCTCTATTCCATTTTATTTTAGCATAGCCTTGCTAACTAGCATAGTTTCATAAGTCTAGGAATAATTAAATTGAGTGCAAATAATTCAAATTATAGAAAAGTTAGATTTTTAAAAGTTGGACTTATTCATAATATTAGTAGCACTTATAAGTGAGTGTAAGTTAGTGCTATTCATTGTCTATAATGACTTTGGTATGGTTGGGAACAGTTGGTCAACATCTATTGGGACATATTTAGGAACTTGGCAATAAAAATTGACATTGGCTAGTGGAATGTCTCTATCCTCTCCTTTTAGCCTTCTTATTATCTTACCTAATAGTAGAGAAACGTGTAAACTGACCATACCTTTGCTACACCCACAGCCAATTAGAGTGAGTATGCAAATTAACCCAACATACATACCCGGGTCTTGGGAACATTCTCAGTACCCAGGTCACTCCCAGCCAGCCATCAGGCAGAAGTTTTAAGCTTGGGAAGGGGCTGAGCCTGCGATCAGATGGGCAGGGTTCCCTTCCCAAGCCTAAAGCCTAGGATGGAGGCTTTAGGCTTGGGGAGGTGCCAGGGGAAATCCCTTCCCAAGCCTAAACCTGGGGAAGGGGCTTTAGGCTTGGGAAGGGGCTGAGCCTGTGATCAGAGGTGTGGGGGGACACCTTCCCAAGCCTATAAACCTGTGGTGCAGGCTTTTGGCTTGGGAAGGGGCTGATCTTGGGATTGAAGGGAAGGGGAAAATATCAATGGAAACATCCTCAGGTGAGGATAAAAAGAAAAATAAAGTAAGAAATGTCATATCCGCCCTTACTGGTTTGGCTCAGTGGATAGAGTGTCAGCCTGCAGACTCAAGGATCCCAGGTTTGATTCTGGTCAAGAGCATGTACCTTGGTTGTGGGCACATACCCAGTAAGGAGTGTACAGGAGGCAGCTGATCGATGTTTCTCTCTCATCGATGTTTCTAATTATTTATCCCTTCCCCTTCCTCTCTGTAAAAAATCAATAAAATATATTTTTTAAAAAGGAAAAGTAATGTCATATCCTATGAAAGACACATCTTGAAAATGCTTAAAGAAAGTTGTCGTTTTTTCATGGTGAAGGGATTGGAGTCTGTGTTGATGAAAATACCTTGGTGGCTGCAATGACTGGCAGTGGCTGCAGCACTGGTGTGATGGGGCTGGCACCTTCCCCTAATCAGCCCAGTCTCCTCAAACAAAGGGAGGAGACTGTGGCTTAGGTCCACTCCCAATAGGGAGCATGCTTAAGCCATCCGTAGGGCATCCCCTGAGGGCTCCCAGTATGTGAGAGGGGGCATGCTTGGCTGAGGGACCCCTCCCCAGTCCATGAATTTCGTGCACTAGTAAGTATAATGATAACTATTGCTTATTGAGTGGTATGTGCTAGCACATTATATTAATTGCTTCTTTAATTGTCACTATGACCCATAAAGCACATATTTATTATCTCCATTTTGTGAATGAGACAGATAGAGATTAAGTAATTTACCTAAGGGTTTACAGCTAATAACTGATGACATTAGGATATAAACCTAGGCATTCCAACCCTAAAGCTTCTTTATTATTCTATCTCCTCTTTGTTATATTTATTGTTATTCCTATCTACTTTAGATTAAGCAGCTGTAGACATATTGTTCTTGTCCCTATGCCTTATCCAGAGTCCCTTAAACATACCTCACCCTCAGATCTGGGCTTCTAATCCTGCTCATCTTGGAGGCATAAGATAGAAATCATTTACAAATTGATTATAACACATTTATTTACTTCTCCCAATCTGTAGTTTTGGGCAATATATTTACTGACATATTGCTGCCATAACCTTCGTGCTTTGTTACAGTAATCATCATTTGTTTGCATTAGGCCTTGATTGTGAGAGGGACTGAGAAATATGCCTTGGAATGGGCTCATGATCTTAAAAAACGACTGATGAAACCTATGTCTTTGTTCCCTATGATGTCTTGCTCTACAATTTACCTTATAAGCATACTTCCCACCAGGTCCCGAAGAGTAATCCAAAACTCTGGGAAGCCTGTGATGCTGTGTTGACCATTACAGTGGAGTCCCAAAAAAAGACCTATCAAGCATATAAAGAAGCAATTAGAGGTAAAATTCTTGAGAAACGAGTCAGATTAAGTAAGCATAGATTCACAAGAAACTAAAAAATCATGAAGGTAAATATTTTTCCTATCAAGAGCCTCTATTCCATAGGAAACCTAATCAGTAACAGGCAATCACACATAAATGAAAAACACCATTTGTTTGCAGAAGGCATTTATAAAACAAATATGTATTATACTCTTGGAGATCTTTTCTCACCTTCAAGCAACTCACAATGACAGCATACAGCCATGAAGATTAAATAAAATATATTTAAGAACGGAGCAATAAAACTGTAATATAGAATAGAGCTGTTCAAAGGGGCCTAGTAAAAAGAAATCTTGTTTCTGACCCAATTTCTGAACCAATTCAACAATAGGACAAGAGATCTGGTATATAAGAGGACATTACCTTTATTATTGATAAATCTTATATTAGAGAGTTTGGCTTCTATTTGTATCAATAGGTATTTGACCTTCCCACTAATGAATCTGAGGATTAAATCTGATGTCTCCATCGAGTCATCAAAATTACTAGACCACCATATTCCTGCCCTATGGCAGCATACCTTTTGTAAAATGTACAGCCTGGAGAAGCATAGAAGAGCACATGTTTAGTTCTCTTTCCAAACTAACCAGTCCAATTAAATCACTTCTCCTTTGTGGGAAGAAATAAGTAAGGGAGAAAAGAAAGGTCAACTGTCTTTTGCTAATAGAGCTACCTCTATATGAAAGAAATAATTTGGAATTAGAAAGACTTACTACCTTCTATCATATAAAAAACAATATTTAAATGAATGCATGTATAAATCATTGTCTTTTAAGGGCAAAGGAATGAAAAGGAATGGGGAGGGGGGAAACAGAGAAAAGAATAGAGAGTAAAGGCAAAAACAAGGAGGAAAAATACACACATGAAAAAAGATGAGGAATATAAGAAGAATATGGGGAGGCCAAAGATGCCAGATTAGAGGCCAGATGTAGAAGGCAGTAATTTTCAGGAGTATTTAGAATGACACATAGATAAGTTTTAAGTGCTCTAGCATTTTCTAGCATACTGTATTAATTATAATGCTTTTGGCTGTAACTAACAGACAGCTCAACACAAAATGATCCAAGTAATTTTCTTTTTCAAAATTTGAAGCTATGGGAGATTCAGTCAGTTGTTCATCAGCTCAGTGATGTCTTCAGTGAATCAACTTCTTTTCATCTTTCTACTTTACAAGTCATAGAATGCTAGCTTGACCTTATGATCTGGTTGCTCTCATGTGCCCAAGATGGCTGCCACAGTTCCAGACATCACATACAGCTGGACCTGTCTACAGACAAAAATGGGGAATGTTCCTCTTACAGAAGCTCTTCAAGCAAACTTCTCCCCACATGGTCCTGGTCACAATCTTGTCCCATTCTCATACTTAACCCAATAATTTAGAAAGATGAATGAGACCACTGTCTCATTAAACAAAATGTGAACAAAATCACATTATCCATGATATATATTCTCCTTTTTTATCCACTCTTTATTTCTTTATCCCGTGGACTGCTTCTCTCTCTGAATAAGTGATTCAGATGACACTTAGGTTTACTTATCTCTTTCTCTCTTGAGTATTGATAGCAAAATTTTTATTGATTCTTGTTCTGATGGAAAAAGCAACTACCAGAACTATTAACAGTGCTGGACACACATACACACACATATTTAATGGAATAAAATTAATCAATTTGGTCAAGAATTGCAAGGATTCCTCAAATTGCTAAGAATGGTTGTTCAGAACAGTTGTTTGGTGTACTCATAGGCAAGCCACAATATAGTTGATCCTTATATTTTTTGACAATGATATGGCATCACATAGATATAGACTAAATTGTCTTTGTATTTTAATTACAGAATTTAGGGAAAGAGGAATGTGTGTGTGTGTGTGTGTGTGTGTGTGTGTGTGTGTGTGTGTATTATCTTACCTAATAATAGACAAACATGTAAACTGACCATACTTCCACTATACTCAATTAGAGTGAGTATGCAAATTAGAAGGCTAAAGATGGCGACCGCCCAGTTGCTCCAGGCACTGAGTAGCCAGACAGGGCAGGATGCCTGCTATGGGAGGAAGGGTGGGGGGCAAAGGAATCTATAGCAGTGGAGTGCTGCAGCGAAGACAGTACTGCAGGCTCTTGAAGTCTGCAGCGAAGATGAACATGGCAGACTTTAGCTGGAGCAAAGGCCTGGGTCCTGGGTGCTGGAGGAAAGTTGGTGCTGGAAGCCAAGGGAAGGAAGGCCTAATGCACGAATCTCTTTGTGCAATGGGCCTAAAGTAAATATATATGAGCAGATGTTTTGATACAAAAAATTCAGACATTCTCTTAATATTTGAGCCAATCTCTTTGAGCTTGTGGAAAAGATAATTAAGGCAAAAAAAGAGCTACCATTAGCTTGGTTGCTAGGCAGCCTGTACTCAGCTTTAGACGAGAAAATAGAGCTAAAAATAATCTAAAGCTTATAAAAAGCTTGTTTAGAATCTTGTTTAGATGCACTTCCACCCCCCACTTTGCAGGTGCCTAATCTTTACCTTCATAACCAAAGAATGATGAAAAGTGAGACAATTATCTTCATATTTGTGATAAACAAAGCTTCCCTACCCCCATTCCTAAATTATGCTGTTTTAAGGCCTTTTTGAAGGCAGCTGGTATAGCAGAAAGAGCATATAATGAGATAAACTCTGGTAAATCTCAGCTCTCATTCTTTTTTTAAAATTACTTTGTTGATTTAGGTATCACATATTTGTCCTCATCCCCCTATTCTCATCCCAAACCCCTTCCTACCCATGCCCCCATCCCCTGTTGTCCACTGGTTAGGCTTATGTGCATGCATACAAGTTTTTTGATTGATCTCTCCCCCTTTCTCCCACCCTCCCCTACCTTCCCTCTAGGTTTGACAGTCTGATCGATGGTTCCATGTCTCCGGATCTGTTTTTGTTCATCAGTTTATGTTGTTAATTAATCCCCCTAGAAGAGTGAGATCATGTGATACAAGAAATACATTTACAAGAACTGAAAATGAGACAAGCAATAATGATTATGCTAAGAGGCAAATGAACCAGTCTGTAGTGAGTTTCTTTCTGGGCCAATAGTTCTTTTGAGTCCCAATTTCAATGTCAAACAGTTTCTTATGTATACATGTCAGCAATGATAATTCAGTTAAGGATGGTGGACAAATGGTGGTGATGCAGATCTGACCCTCTCTGGTTTGGTCCTGGGCAACCTGCAGTGATGAACAGCTGATGACTGCCAGTATGGCAAGGTGTCCTCAGCATCTTCCATCTCTGGACTGTTTCTCTTCTGTCTTCATGGCTGGAGCAGTCCTGCAAATTTCTCTCTGTTGCAGGAATCCACATGGTCTTGGAGTTGTTTTCTGAAAATATACAAAATATTCTCAACCAAAAGTTAATAAAGGAATATTTTCTATAAATTTGACTTGGGATCCTTTTTCATTTTTTGCCCAAACGATTTTCCTTTGGCTTGTTTTGACACCATTTGTGTTTTTTATGGGTGTCTTGCTGTTAGCATTACAAATGAAAGTTAATTTTCTAAAGTATAAATTTTCTAGATGTAATTTACTTACAGGATATTTTTCCTTACATAATATTCTTCTAGTACCCCCCCTTTTTTAATTCAAATATTTGGAGGCTTTTGGAAATTTTATAATGTAGTCTTGATAGCTTTTAAATTTTAATTTTTGCACTAAAGTATGACTGCTATAGGTTCATTACATGTTACATATTTTTACCATGAGATGAACTAACAATAAAAATTTTAGTTAATACTTTAGGAACAGCCTTTTGTCCAGTGAAATCAATTTTTCTAATAGTCGCTTATTTCTCAGCTCTCATTCTTATTAGTTGTGTGTCCTTGGGCAAGGTAGTTAGACTTTTTTTTTTCAATTACACTTTATGTTCAGTATTCTTTTAGGTGGATAGCATAGTTTCAGGTGTATAGCATAGTGGTTATATTACTTAGATATTTAAAAATATGTTTTTATTGAATTTTAGATAGAGAGTAAGAATGAGGGAGAGATATAAACATTGATGGGAAACATCATTATCAGCTGCCTCTTGCATGCCCCCTTCTGAGAATTGAGTCCACAACATGGGCATGTGTCCTAACCAGGAATCAAATCTCTGACTTCTTTGTCCATGGGTTGGCACTCACCCACTAAGCCATACTTACCAAGCCACTTAGACTTTTTGAGTCTCAATTTTTCTATCTGTAAAATTGATTAGTGGTCTACTTCTTCTAAGATTACTGTGAATATTAAACAAAGTAATGCTGTGTAAGGTGTCTAGCAGAGTGCCTGTCTAAGAGCTACCTTGCTGTGGGCCAGAATGATCTTTTTGATATGATTTAGCATTAAATTACAATCTGACTTCAGCTTCCTACTTTCTTGTTTACTAATAACTGGTAGAAACACTCAGTAGTTCTAGCTTTCAAAATTATTTTACTTTTAACATCCAAATGGTATTTTCTAAGATCAAATTTTGTAATTAATGTTCACTTATTTCTAGGCTCCTGTGTTGTTGTTTTTCCTATTCAGTCAACAGATCAGCAACTATTTATTAAGTACCTGCTATGTGCCACACACTATGTTGAACTCCAGATAGAATAGTAAACAAGACAGGATTTTTGTCAGTTGTATGTTGGAGTCAGTCCACAAAAGTCAATTGTGTGAAAATTGTTAGAGCAACACAGTTATATTTTGTGGCTACAATGCACAACTGATAAAAAATCTTGTGGTATATACTGAAAATATTTGGGGGAGCACTTTGTAAACTATATGATTGTCTAACCACTATGCTATACACCTGAAACTAATACAAAATAATATTGAATGTAAACTGTAATTTAAAAATAAAAATACAAACACAAACGTTAATAGTGTGCATCTTTTCTCAATTCAGTGTTAGTGGCATCATGATGGTAGCTTGAATCAGGCATTGAGAATATTTCCACTACAGAAATTGATAAGTGCTCCAAGTAAGAGGTTTTTTTTTTCTCTTTCTTTCTCATGGAGATGTTAAACATTTGCTAGCACATCATTTGTCCCTACTCTTATAGGGCTTCAATTCTAGTGAGAGATATAGGTAGTAAATGATTCAATAAAAATATGAAAAACATTGCTGTATTTTTGCTTTGCCCAATAACTTACAGTGGAATTGAAATGTCTGCACAAAGGCTATATTGCCTATAGCAATGGTTTGCAACCTCTTTTCTTCTATACCCTTGCTTCTTTAAAAAGTAAAACAGACAAAAAATAAAACCATAAAAGTGATAAATACACATAATTTTAAAAGTCAATAAATGTTAAAAGTTTTGTATCACCAACAAAGCAGTCCTAAGACTCCCCCCGAACCTTTATCAGAAGCAACACTTTCATGTATTTTAAGTCTCTATTTTGGTATTTACTTCTACATATACTGCCACTGGTCTCTTGATTTATCAATTTTTGTCATTATTCATCGCTTTTCTTCTATAGTTGAGAATTGTTATTTCATATACTTATCTTTTTTAAGCCTTCAATATAGTTATATCACAATCTTTTTATTTATTTAGTTTTTTAATATTGTACCTATGTAAATATAATTCATAGCTGATCAATGTGGTATATTATGGTAATAATTCATTTTACATATAACTTTTTATTTTTACTGGATTCATAATTACTGTATTTTTAAAATTATTTACCTTAATTTAAATTTGTAAGTCTTTCAGTACTGTCTGATAAAGCTATAGAAACTTCTAAAAACAATTTTATATATGATAAAACCAGTTAAATCTCTTATCAATTTCATTTGTTTTTCCTGAGGCTTTCTGTTCTCTTTCTATTCCAATCTAAACTTTTGCACAACTATTGTGGTAAGATTTCCCTTTTCATGTCTCTGGAAATTCCTTTCTTCTTTTTTATGTGCTGGATCCACTACTTTGTGAATCTTTTGTATCCCATTTTCTTACTTTACTCATTCGGTGGAGCACATCTTCTAATAGCTTCTAAGAGAGGTATACAGGAGGTAAACTTTTGAGATTTTGCATGTCTGAAAGTCATTATTCTATCTTCACTTTTGATTTTTGAGTATGTAAATCTAGGTTAAAAATATATATTTTTTCTCAGCAATTTGAAGACATGGCACATTGGCTTCTAGTTTCCACTGTTGGTGTTGATAAATCCAATGTTATTCTCATTCTTGATTTTGTGATGCAACCTATTTTCACTCCTTATCTACCCCAGAAGCTATTAAGATTATCTCTTTATTCTTGATAATATGAAATTTCATGATGATGTCTGATATATATTATGCTGTACATTTGGTGGAGACTTTCAATCTATCAATAGAAGCTTATTGTGCATAGAAAATTTTCTTGTTGTTTATTTGATAATTTCCTTAATATTGTCTTTGTTATCCCTGGAAGTACTCTTTGTTGGATATAAGATTGCCTGGGTTAATTTTCGTTTGTCTTATTATTTCTCTTGTGCTATCATATCTTTGTTTTTCATTTTTCTTTCTGGAAGAATTTGTTAGAACTCTTTTACTAATTTAAAAACAAAATTTGCTATCACAGTTTTAATTCCAAGAATCAACTTTCATTGTTTGGTTATTTTATTTTAATAACATTCTGCATTTGTTTCATGAGTATAGTATTTTCTCTTATTTCTTTGAAGATGTACATTATAGTTCCCTTGAAGTTATCTTCTCTGTATTTTCCTCAATTCCTAATTTTTCATGACCCTTTATTTTGATGTTTCTATTTTATTTTTGGAGCTTTCCTTAAATGTTTGGTGATTCTGCCTGCCTGTTTACCCTTAAGACTTAAAGTTCTAAGTGAAATAAGCCAGTCAGCAAAAGACAAGTATCACACGATCTCACTCATATGTGGAATCTAATTAATAAAATAAACTGATGAACAGAGTGGATTCAGAGACATGGAAGGATAGAATAGACAGTGGGAATCTCAGCAGATGTTTGGGAGGTAATCAACCAAAGACCTTGTATGAATATATGCATAAATCAAGGACATAGACAATAGGGTGATGAAGGTCTGGGTAGGGTGGGCTGGAGGGGGTCAATAGCGGGAAAAGGGGGATATAGGTAATACTTTAAACAATAAAGATTTGTTTTTATTTATATTTATTTATTTATTTATTTATTTATTTATTTATGTATTTATTTATTTTCATGGCACACATTTATTACACACTTAAATTTTGCCAGACATTGTTATAAGCAGCCTATATACATTAGTTCATTTTTTGTTCCTTTTAAAAAATTTAATAAATTTTTATTGTTCAGATTATTACAGTTGTTCCTCTTTTTTCCCCCATAGCTCCTGTCCACCAGGTTCCTACCCCACCCTCTGCCCTTACCTCCCCACACTGTCTTCATTCATAGGTGTATGCTTTTTGTTCAGTCTCTTCCTGCACCTCCCACTTTCCTTTCCCCCCAAGAATTGTCAGTCCACTCCCTTTCTATACCCCTGATTCTATTATATTCACCAGTTAATATTGTTCATCAGATTTTTTATTCCCTTGGCTTTTAGATTCACAAGCTGATAGATATGTATTTGTTGTTCATAATTTTTATCTTTATCTTTTTCTTCTTCCTCTTCTTAAAAAATACTTTTCAGCATTTCATATAATTCTGGTTTGGTGGTGATGAACTCCTTTAGCTTTTTCTTATATGTGAAGCTCTTTATCTGACCTTCAATTCTGAATGATAGCTTTGCTGGGTAGAGTAATCTTGGTTGTACAATAGTTTCTTGCTATACATCACTTTGAATATTTCTTGCCACTCCCGTCTGGCCTGCATAGTTTCTGTTGAAAAATCAGCTGACAATCGTATGGGTGCTCCCTTGTAGGTAACTGTTTTTCTCTTGCTCTTTTTAATATTCTTTGTCTTTTGCTCTTGGTATTTTAATTATGCTGTGTCTTGGTGTGGTCCTCTTTGGATTCTTTTTGTTTGGGGTTCTGTACACTTCCTGGACTTGTAATTCTATTTCTTTCACCAGGTGGGGCAAGTTTTCAGTCACTATTTTTTCAAATAGGTTTTCAGTATCTTGCACTCTCTCTTCCTCTGGGACCTCCATAATTCTGATGTTGGTATGCTTGAAGTTGTCCCAGAGGCTTCTTAGACTATCTTCAAGTTTTTGGATTCTTTTTTCTTTTTTCTTTTCCAGTTGAGCGTTTTTTGTTTCTTTGCCTTCCAAATCTTTGAATTGGTTCTTGCAATCCTCTAGCCTGTTTTTAGGTCTTCGTGTAATAGTTTTTATTTCAGTCAGTGTATGCTTAATTTCAGTTTGTTCTGTTTCATATTCTTGAGGGTCTTGTTAAATTTATTGACATTTTCTAGGAAATTCTTGAAAAACCTTATAACCGTGGTTTTGAACTCTATACCCAATGGTTTAGTTTCCTCCATTTCCTTCATTTGTGACCTGTTTCTTTGTCTCCACATTTTGGCTGCTTCCCTGGATTGATGGAGTGGTTTTGTGTGCTAGGTGTCCTAGCAGGGCCCAGTGGCTCAGCCTCCCCAGTTACCTGAGGTGGACACTTTTGGTGTGCCCCTTTGTGGGCTATGTGTTCAGTCTTATTGACGTTAAGCCTAGATTGTTGTTAGTATCACTGGGGAGGTGGAGGGGGGAATTGACCTCCAGGCCAATTGGCTGTGAGGATGAGCTGTATCTCTGCTGGGAGAGCTTTTGTGCTCAGCTTGGATGGGGTGGAGTCTCAGGGCTGAGCAGACAGCCTTGGTTTCCCATCAGCCCCGCCCTACAAGGCCTCTGTTTCTCAGTATCCTATGGCAATGGCTGCACACACCTCTGAGAGAAGGCTCCCTTGAGTTTCTCCTGCTGCCAGACAGTCCAGTTTGTCCCCGAATGGGTCTGTGCATTTAAAGTCTCACCCAGAATTGGAGTTCAGTGCAGTCGGGAGGTTTTGTTTCCCTCCTGAATGAGAAAGCTGGCCATGTGCTTGCTGCCCGCCCTCTCTGAGCAACAGGAGTAAGCCAGCTGCATATTCAGCTGCCTGCCCTTTCCATGTACACAGGTCTCTACACTTCTGTCCTCCACAGCTCCTCTGGGTCTCAGTGTCCTTTTATCATTCCTTCTAGTTGCAGAATTTCCACTCAGTCACCTTTCCAGTGGTTCTGGACAATGTCCTCTCTGTATTCCTGTTGCAGTTTTGAAATTATTGTATGAGGCAGCAGTATAGGTGTTTACCTATGCGATAACAGATTTTTTTCCTCTTTTTTTTTTTTTTTTTTTTTTACAATATCTGTAGGTCTTGCCTGTTGGGCTACTCACTTTATTCAGAGAAGACTGCTCTAATCTCGTTCCCGCTGTCAGTATTCTAGGAACCACATTAGGGGAAGGAGACTGGGACTCTTCATCATTAAGTATGAAGACTTTAACTCCATGTCTCTTTTTCTGTGTGGCCCACCTAACTCCCAAAGGAATACAAAGGAAGGTGGTAGGACACTTTCCTTTGGATCAAGTGTCCCAGATCTGAAGCCAGTCTGAATTAATTTGACCTCTTTTCCATGGAGATCTGACTGTTTTTAGTAGAAATGCAGATGGTGATGTCTCACTGATCTTTACACAGACAATCAAGCAGCCCTCCCTCTTTTAGAGCTCTGCCTCACAAGAACTTCCATAGTAATTGGTGCCTCTAATTCCTAAGCCTTTCCGAGATTCTCAGAGGGCAAATCTGCTTGTTGCTTACCAATATTCACCTCTTCAAGTACTTAGGTTTAATCACCCTCCACTCTGCTAAATTAGTTGCCAGCAGCTTTTCATCTTCATTTTCTGTGGTTTCGAGTTACAGACATCTGCTAATGCCATTAGATACGGAGGTTTTTGTTCCTTGTTCTCTTTGTTTAGGAGTGAAGTTTATGAGAAGGAAGAGAGTGAAGAAAAAATATTTACTTATCTTTAATCAGGAAGTCATAAAGAGGTTAAAAAAGGGTGTCACTAATTAATTAATTAAGCAAGTATTTTATTAAGCTCAAATATAACATGGTAGTTAAGAGCATGGGCTTTGAAGGCGGACTGATGTGAATTTACTTAAGCTCTTTTTTAAATTTTTTAAAATTGAGAATAATACTAGTAACTATCTCATACAATTATGAGGATTAAATAAGTTAACAAGTTAACACACATAAAGAGCTTGCCTGGAACCTTCAGCTCCTTAATAAATGTAAATTATTATTGCTATTAATGTTATTATTTTAAATATATTTTTATTGATTTCAGAGAATAAGGGAGAGGGAGAGAGAAATAGAAACATCAGTGATGAGAGAGAATCATTGATTGGCTGCCTCCTGAACTCCCCACACTGGGAACTGAGCCTGCAATCTGGGCATATGCCCTAACCAGGAATCAAACCCTGACCTCCTGGTTCATAAGTCGATGCTTAACCACTGAGCCATGCTGGCTGGGTGGTTATTTTTATTATTACTATGGGCTAGTCCATGTGCAGGTAATATAATGAAGAACAAAGATGAACAAGATCTTTCCCAGTGAAGGGAACAGTTTTAGTATTTTAGGGCAGTTAGACATTGGTATAAAATTGGGACTTTGTTATGTATAGATCACAGATTCAAGACTGGAACAAAAGATTTGAACACTGCAATTCCAGGATGATATTACTAGAGTCCTGTTTCCTCTTCAGAGATGCAAATAATAGTAGCTATTATGTGTTTAGCACTTACTCTGCATGATTATAGTTTACATAAATGATTTCATTGAGCCTACAGATTAGGTATTAAAAGCTCCATTTTATGGACAATGAAATTGAAGCTCAAGGTAACTGGCCCAAGGTAATACAGCTTGCAAATGGCAGAGCTAGGATTCCAACAAAAATCTGCTACCAAAACCTTACCATTTAACAACACATTAGCCTTTAAAGCAATTACACTGTGTCCCATGTCTAGTGCTTTATTCAAAGTAACATTACTAAATAACTAATACTTTGATTGGAATGGGTTTGTCGGATTGTTTTCCTTTGATATAGGAGGTGATAGGGCTTAATGAGGACCCATGAAAAGAGAACAATAAATCAGAATGAAGAGACTAGGAGAATGGGACACCAGTTACAAATTTACTAATTTGGTCTCAGGATGATTGGGCAAGTTGTATTACTTTGTAGCTTTATATTTTGGCACAGAATAGACTTCTGAAATAAGGTTTTAGTTGTCTGCATTCTTCTCTTTTATTATATTCCCTTTATTCAATGAAATTCCATTGGCTACAAATGCATATTTCTGGAACACATATTTTGGATATCCCCCCCCCCCCCCCAAATGTGGTCTTATTTGGCTAAACAAAGGAAGTCCTCGGTATTTCTCAGCTAGCTTGGAGGACCTTAAGCTCCTTGCACCTATTGTTAATTGTATTCTTATATATCCCTGGCAAACAATTAGAAAATGAAAATTTCAAAATTTCTGTTTACAATATCACCAAAATCATAAAATATTTAGGAATAAAGCTAACAAAAGGAGACCAAGACTTCTACATTAAAAACTATAAAATATTGCTGAAAAAAGTTAAAGAAGACTTAAATAAGTGGAAAGATATAATATATTCATGGACTGAAAGACATTATTTTTAAGACGACAATATCGTTATGGTAAACTATACTCCATATGATACCAATAAAAATTTCAACAGAAAAAAAAAGATAATTGTAATTTTTAAAAATGGGTTTCACTGTGGTTTGTAACTATCTACAATTCAATTTACTTATCACACAAGCCGTGAATAAAGCTATGAAAGAAAATGGATGGGCTAGTGCTGCCAGCCTAGTTCATCATTCCAGAAACATGCAGTTCTGTGCATTCAACCAGTTGGTAAAAACAGATTCAAATTGAAATGCAATTTCAGAATATGTAATCCTGGACACCAAATGGAAAGAATGGGAACTCCATGGAACTTACAGTGTGGATGTGGAAACAGAGCTGCTACAATTCATAGTAGGGACTCTCATTCACTTCACTTGTGGCAGGCCTCTTAGAGCAGATGGAAGTTCATTTGTTCATTTGCAGAAGGGAAGATCAACCGAGGAGGTAAGGAATGAAAAGTCACTGGTAGTCAATTTTATTCAGCTTGGTATACAAGAGAACCTCTTTAGGGATATTTAAGTATTAGAACACTCATAGAATCAATCATTTGCATTCAGATGTAATAAATGTCTTGGCATGCTGTGTAGTCAACTTAAAATAATGACAATGAAAGGTACTTTACAGCCTTGAGTAATCATCCACAATTTAAAAGCTTCCTCCACTTGTTATTTTTTAATTTAAAGTTTTATTTTTTCAATTATAGTTTGCATCCAATATTATTTTGTATCAGTTTCAGGTTACAGTATAGTGGTTAGACAGTAATATACTTTACAAAGTGGTCCCTCTGGTATTTCATATACCCACCTGGTACCATACTAGAACATAGGTAATACAATATTATTGAATATACTAGAGGCCGGAAAAGGTGTGGGGGGGTGTCCCTCAGCCCAGCCTGCACTCTCTCCAATCTGGAACCTCTTGAGGGATGTCCAGTGGGATCCAGCCTAAACAGGCAATCAGACATCCCTCTCACAATCCAGGATGCTAGCTCCCAACTGCTCACCTGCCTGCCTTCCTGATTGCCCCTAACTGCTTCTGCCTGCCAGTCTGATCACCCCCTTACCACTCCCCTGCCAGACTGATTAATGCCTAACTGCTCCCCTGCCAGCCTGTTTGCCCCTAAATGCCCTCCCCTACAGACTTGATTGCTCCCAATTGCCCTCCCTTGCAGGCCTGGTCCCTTCCAACTGCCCTCCCCTGCTGGCCATCTTGTGGTGGCCATCTTGTGTCCACATGGGGACAGGATCTTTGACCACATGGGGGTAGCCATCTTGTGTGTTGGAGTGATGGTCAATGTGCATATTACTCTTTTATTAGATAGGATTATTTATGCTGTACTTTACATCCCATGACTATTTTGTAGTTACCAATTTGTAGTTCTTAATCCCTTTAAATTTTTCACCCAGAAACCCAGCTCCCCTCCCATCTGGCAACCATGAGTCTGTTCTCTGTATCCCCTAGTTATTTTTAAAAGGATCCTACTCTCAGAAGGATTGTAACCTTCTCTATCTTTTGTAGTCTGCTGTCCCTTCACCCCTTGCTAGAAAGACCACCTGTCCTTCCCTTGGTGTATCCAAATTCTATGGATCAGGTTTCACTGCAGAAATACCATATCTAGCCCCTCTCCTCTCTGAACTCCCATTGAACTAAAAGTCTATACCTCAGAGATTAGCACAAAATTGCTTTTCAATTGTTCCTGAATATTGATTGTATCTCCTCCTGTCAAATAGACTGATCCTGAGGGTAAGAGTTATAGCTAATAATTCTTATCCCCTCCCAAACTGCCTGACACAGTCAGCCTCCAATAAATATTTGCAGTTTGGTTGACTGATGGAACTCTGGCCTGTGAAATAGGGAAAACTCTACCAAATTTCTGAGAGTCAGAGGGGAACTTTGGAAGGATCCATATTATTGATATGTAAATGTACACCACAACCTTCTAAAACCAAATGCATATATTTGAAATGGACTTTCATTTCTATTTTACTTTAGTCTGGCATACCCAACCACCTCTTTACTCACATCATTACATATTTTCCCTCTGAAATGTTAGTAATCCACCCAAATATTTAGATTTTTCCAGAGACCAATTTATATCCTGATGAAAACACTAATTATCAAAACCAGACTCACCCTTGAAGGACAAGTGCTACTTTTTTTTATAAAAAACTCACAAGGTTTATGGGCTCTGGTGAATTAGAAAGGTCTTTTATTTTATGAAGGCAACATAATACTTACCCTTCACAGATGAGATAACATATTTATGCTGAAGAACTCTATTGCTATCCAACATAAAATAAGGTTCTCAAAGTTTTCCATTCGTGGACTTTTTCTTTCAGAGAAACACCCAGGTCAGCCCTAATTCATGTGATTTGCTATTGTCAGAGTGGTGAGTGGTTTTGCTTCAGAACAGTGAAATTGCTTTCTGTGTACATAAAATCAACAAGATAGACTGTGCTGTAGAAAAATAGGATTAAGTTAGGTAGATGTGGCTTGATTTTAGAGTCACCAGAAAGCATGAAGAGTCTCTTTGTGATGCCATTTATTTACAGCCTCTCTTTGATAATGCCATTCTTTCTCTTCCTTTTTTTCTCTTCAGGCATGGGCCCTGCCTTTGCTGTGATGGTTTGCCTTACTTTGCTTTTAACCCTGCTATTTATTAATGGATTTTCTTACTTTATAAGGTACATTTTTATTTTTTGTATATAAAAATATAAGCCCATAATAACCTTGTTAATATTAATTTCCAGGAAGTCATGTTGTAGTACAATTGCCTCATTATATGACCCATTGATTTTCTTTTTATCATAGTGATTTACCATTCCTACTGGCCTCATTTAGGGTGAAGCTGTTCATGATGCCAAGAATAACTTCTTCAGTTGTGTTGTCAGTGTTTTTGCCTGTGAGTAGATATGGCTCACAACACTACCATAAAATAAGGGAAACTAGTACTTCAGGGCCTGTCTACTCCCTATCTGTCCTCTTTTTTCCACTGGCAGTATCTTTCCTTTCCTAAATGGTATAGACTTGTAGTGAACAGAGTTTGGACATTTATAAAATTCTAAGAGTTAGGCAGAATTGGCTACAATCCAAGAGTTAGGGATTTTGATACTAACTCACAGGATTGTAGTTGGGGGTTAAAGAAACCAAAGTAGCTGAAACTGGTTTTGCCCAGGTTCGATTCCAGTTAAGAGCATGTACCTTGGTTCTGGGCACTTCCCTAGTAGAGGGTGTGCAGAAGGCAGCTGATCCATGTTTCTCTCTCATTGATGTTTCTAACTCTCTATCCTTTTCCCTTTATCTCGGCAAAAAATCAATAAAATATATTAAAAAAAAAAGAAAAAGAAAAGAAAGAAACCAAAGTACCTAGAACAATACCTGACTTGCTCATCAAATGGTAAATCTTAACTCTTTCCCAGACATATGAGACTTGCCTTATGATAGTTGGGAGCCCAGAATTCCCACTTTGACATTCATATTCCAGATTTTTACTATCCTTCTTCCTTGGACCAAAGCTCTCCTAGCTAATCATTATTACCATCCTTGTCATCATTCTTTGCTTTCTCCTTCAAATCCCTTAATAGGTGACAGGATCAGGGATAAATGGCTGAAGATGGCTTAATATGACATCCTTTTCTTCTAATAATTGCATTTTAACAATTGGGCCCTCCCTCATACTAGGATGATTTAGGAAAAGTGAAAAATTAAATCTATCACAACTCTCCTGCTTTAAGCTTTCCACCCTGCAAGCCACACCTTTGTTATCTCTTTGTAAGAGTGGTACTAACAGCAATGTGATGCAAATTTGGTAGGAAATGGAATGGAACTTCAAGAAATAATGTCTAGAGTGTATTAAGTAGCTATATAAATTTGGACCAGACACTAAACCTCTCTTGGCCAGAATTTTCTCATTTTATTTATTTATTTTATTTATTTATTTATTTATTTATTTATTTATTTATTATTATTATTTTTTACTTTTCACATTATTATTATTTTTTAAAATATATTTTATTGATTTTTTTGCCCCTCTCCCTCCCTCCCATACATACCCTCCCTCCCCAGAGTTTTATGTCCATTGGTTGTATATACTTATATGCATGTAAACAAGTCCTTCGGTTGATCTATTATCTCCCCCAGATCTTCCTCCCCTCCCCACTGTAATTTGACAGTCTGCCTGTTGCTTTACTGTCTCTATATCTGTCTCTTGGTTCATCAATTTATAATGTTCTTTATCATCCACAAATGAGTGAGGTCATGTGGTGTTTCTCTTTCATTGATTGGCTTATTTCACTCAGCATGATGTTCTCCAATTCCATCCAGGTTGCTGCAAATGATGAGAATTCCTTCTTTTTTATGGCAGCATAGTATTCCATTGTGTAGATGTACCACTGATTTTGGATCCAATCATCTGCTGATGGGCAACTAGGCTGTTTCCAAATTCTGGCTATTGTAGATTGTGCTGCTATGAACATAGGGGTGCATATATCCTTTCTGATTGGTGTTTCTAGTTTCTTGGGATATATTCCTAGGAGTGGAATTACTGGGTCAAATGGGAGTTCCATTTTCAGTTTTTTGTGGAAACTCCACACTGTTCTTCACAGTGGTTGCACCAGTCTGCTTTCCCACCAGCAGTGCACGAGGGTTCCTTTTTCTCCGCAACCTCGCCAACACTTGTCGTTTGTTGATTTGTTGATGTTGACCATTCTGACAGGAGTGAGATGGTACCGCATTGTTGTTTTGATTTGCACCTCTCGGACAGAATTTTCTCATTTTAAAATAAAGAAATTAGATTAGATGATCTTCAAGAGTTCTTTCAGCTCTGAAATTCTAATGACTTTGACATCGTGGATTGAAACTATAACAAGTATAGCTCCTAGTGTTTAATATGTCGATATTGCTGTGAAAAAAAAGTGTTATCCATTTTCCCTGTAATTAGAAACTTGAGAAAGCCTTTCAGAGTAATAGATAACTTATGAATTGGTAAAATACACTTGATAAATGTTAACAGCGGACAGGACAGCACCAGATGTTACCAGTGGAGCTAGACCTCAGTCCTTGAGCTTGGCTAAGAAAGAATTTAGTGCCAAGAACTCCAGCATAAGAAGTTTATTTAGAAAGTCATGGAGGTAGAAGTGATCTGTAGAAGAATTGTGCCAGCTGAGCTGCATGGACCCAGGAAACGCATTATAGTGGCAAAAGAAGCCCTTGGAACTTAGGAAAAAGAAAGGCAAAGAAAACACACCTGGGGAACTGAAAGGTGGAAAGGCATATGTGTGCTCCAGAGAGAGTTGGTCCTTCGTCTTAAGGGGTTTTATCTTTTTTTCCAAAAGTGGGGATTTTAAGGGAGGTCTCAGAGTACCATCTCAATAAAATATTCATCAGCTTTCCAGGTCTGTCCTTTTATGATTGTGGTCTCTACTGATTGATTGATGCTTGGGACAGGGGATTATTAGTCACTGATGTCAGCCATGGTGTCACTTCATCTGGATTTGCTGCTTTTCTAAGTATGAAGCTGAAACACAACTGAGGCTTAAATGCTATCTCAAGTTTCACCAAAACTCTGTCTCTGTGGTCAATAGACCTGAGGCTTTGTTCCTAAGATTATTTGATGCAAGACAGAGCCTCATTGTAATGGGGGCTTAATGCTTAAGGGAGTAGTGATGCAAGTGCTTGTGTGGGAATAATATGAGGCTATTCTCTGGCCCCCTTGTTTCTCCTAGAAGGTGGTCTACCACACGACTAGCAACATGCCAATGAAGAAAAGGTCAGGGGAAAGATCTGAACCATATGACTAAATATATGAAAGTCATGGGGTCTAAATCACATGACTAGCAGTATGCTATGGGAGGAAAGGCCATCATAGGGGTGAGGTCCCACCCTACAGTACTTGTTTTACCATTATTAGGCACCCCGGGCTTTCTGCCCTGATGACTTTCTGCACCTGGCTTATCATTCCTACTCTGCTCATGTCTGTTTAATTGCCCACTATGTCAATAAAAATATTACTTCAAAGGAAGTTTTTCTTTTTAATTTCTGCGACTGTTACATATCCCTGCTCACAGCAGAAATTTAATGTCTGTAATTTATCTGCTTCCAAAGAATAAAGTATTTAAATAACATCATTAACTACTTAGTGAAAATAAATTTCATTCAATAAAAAAGCTTCCCCATTCAGGGAGATTTGAGGACTAATAGGCTCTGGCTACCCAGTGCCAAAACATTCTATGGTAAGGTGGAAAATGGAGTCACTCAGCTGTTTGTGTTTGTTATCACCCCACCCCCACCTCAAATGACTGGTTTGTTTTTTTCCCCATGGAACTCACTTGTTCTTTGGGCTTAGAGTGAGCCCAATTGCAATTCTTAGTAAAGGGAGGGAAAAAATAAATGAAAATCATGGGTTTGGCAGGCATTTGTTTGGAGCTTGTGGGCTGAAGGGCAAAGAAGACTGGAGAGGAAACTGATTGGAGTGGGACATGATTAGTGATTAAAATGATTGGAGAGGAAAATGAATTTGAGACAATTGGTACTCAGAGTGGTCACAGAAAACTCAGAAAGGGGAGAAGAGCACATCGTTTTCCAGAGTAACTTGGTTCTTGGTTTTCAGTTTACAAAGCACAAAGGATGCCTTCTCTTTGCTACCTACCTCCTTCTCTCTGCCCACACGGCTGCAATCAGACAAGCTGAGTGGCTGATTAGTTTCTGTAATAGATGGTGATTACTTGCAGGAGAGTGACTCTCTGTTCCTTCATTTTCTGTGTTTTGATTAAGTTTTTTTTTTTTTTTTCCTTCAGAATTAAGGACATACAAAGAATTCAACCACCCCAAAATAAAGGATTCTTTGAACCCCTCCTTTCTCTCTCATCCAAAACAGATTGCCTTCTCCTTTCTATAAAGATCTCATGTGTTTTGTAATACTAATTATGATAATGATAATAATGAGGCCTTATACTTCCATAGTGCTTCATGATTTTCAAGGCACTTTCATATATATTATCTCATTTGATTTTCAAAACAACTATAGTATAAAAGCAGATAATGCAAGGGGAATTATCTCACTTAGATGAGGACATTGGGGCATGAAGAGGTTAAATTATTTATCAAAGGTCATTTGGCTAATAAATGACAAAATCTACACTATACCCCAGATCTTTAGATTGGGAGTCCAGTTCTCTTTTTACTTGAATATATTCTGCATCATGATTATTTTGACAGGTGTACCTGCTTTAAGACAATTGCCTACATTTATGAAACAGATAAGTTAGGGAGAGATGTTTTACTTTGCCAATAGATTCATATGGTTTACCCAAGAATTCACTACAGAGCTCTTTTATTTTTTTCTGCAAGGCTGTATCTTCCACAATGATAATGGACATATTTGTTGGCAGACAGAAACACATTAATTGTTTGTTTACAAATCGGTGGAATCACTGAAAAAACTGACTGGGTTCTGGTTCTTAGAGCTACAGTGACATTGTAGATTTCTTAGAGCAAGTTGACAAAGCAGTTTGATTCAGTTGTTTTCCCCACTCTGGCACTTAACTTTAGTATTTTCCATAGGGTAACCATTAAGGGGTTACAGAAAAAGTAAATACAAACTGTAGCTGTCAGACACCCAAGACAGAACAAAAGCAAACAACCACATGGACTAATCCAAGAATCCTTCCAGGTGCTCAAGTTGTCCCATTAATTCAACTGAGATGACCTACCTGGCTATGTGGGTAGATATCATAAACTCCTATGTATCTAGTAATTGATTTTTAAGAAATAATTGCATTCAGTGCAAATTAATAGGCACATTTGCAGAGAATCAGATTTAAACTGTGTCTATGTAATGTTCAGACAAGAGACGAGTTCAGTAAAAGAAAACAACAACGGTAAATCCCACATGTTTGGAATCAA